TGCAGGGAACGCAAGAAAACTCAGCGTTTCACGAAGCGCGAGAGTGCGGAAGGTCAGCGCGGAAGGTCAGGAAGAATGAGGGCGAGGGATGTACATTTAAGTCGGGCCTGTCCCCCTACAGGGGGGTTTTCGACGAAAAATAAAAAAATACGCCAAAACTAATCAAAAAATCAAAAACAGTATGGGGTCTATGTTTTGAGCATTGTTTGACCTCTTTGGGGTATTCTTGGGGTATTTTCTACTTTTCGTAGAAAATCCCCCTGTATGGGGCACAGGCCCCACTTCAGTGTACACGCACCCGCGGGGCGGGCGGCCGCGGCGCTGCAGCGGCTGCCGGGCGCTGCCTCGCCTGGTGGCACGACGGTGTGGGGGCGCCGCGGCGCGGTCGGCGCGGCTGTGAGCATGCGCCCGCGGCTACGTGGGCGGAAGCCAGAACGCGCCGGCGGAGGGCCCGGGCCCTGCGCAGCGGCGCGGCGCAGATGCCTTGCCCGGGGCCTGGAACGGCTCGGGGCCACGCCGGACGCGCGCCGCCCTCCCTGCCCGAGCTCCCGGCGTCGTCGCTGTTCCCTGCGGGCGAGGCTGCTTGGTCTCGGGCCCCGGGAGCCTCACCGATCGATCTGGCTCGAAGAGCGGGCTGCGCGTAAGAGTGACCTTTCGCCGGGATGACCTTCTAGGATGGCTGAATGCGATGCGGTAGCAACTGCTTGCGCGCCTGGTGGTGTCCTCAAAAGCCCCCCTATGCGCTTGTGAGATTTCTTTTGTTGCCGATGCTTTTCGGTAACCCATCGCGGCACGAACACTTCAGGCCGTCCCAGAATCGCACGGCAGAGGCCGATAATCCTCAAGCACGACTCACGCCCCGCAGCCCCCCCCCCCCGGGGAGGTCCAAGAAACGGAGAGACGCCTCCAACCGGCGTCAGACCCCTCCACACAGTCAATCCCGAGAGTGCCCCCCGAGTGGCTCCAGTGTCGCCCCAAAGCAGCTCACTGGAACGCCCGCAGCTCTCCGTCGGCGCCTCCTCGCCTGCCCTCGGCGCCCCCCGTACCAAGTGTCACTCTTGCCTTTGGTCACTCTTGCGTGCCGCCGAAAGAAGGCTGCAGGGGAGGAGGAGGAGGAGGAGGAGGAGGAGGAGGAGGATGAGGAGGAGGAGGAGGAGGAGGATGGGTCCAGGTCTCGGGTCCAATTCTCTGCGACGCTGTCAGTTGTTCGTGCGCACGGCCCTGGAGACCTTTGAGGACTACCTCTCGGCAGCCCTCGCTGCCCCCCACATCTTTTCGCCCCCCCACTGCGCGTCCCCAGACCATACGAGGGACCAGAACTACCGGGCCTCACTCGAGAAACCATAGCGAGCATACGCCACGGCTTACGCGGGCCTCCAGCGTGGCGCGCCGCGTGGAGAGGAGGGCGCGGAGCCACGACCTTACGCGAGGAGCGTGTTGGATCGATCTGTGAGGGCCCTGGGGCCCGAAACAAGGCAACATCCCCCGTTGCGAAAAAATTGCGACGCCAGGGTCTCGGAGAAAGCTCGCGGCTTCCGCGCCACACGCCCGTTCTTCGTCGCCCGTCCGCCAGGCTGCGTCGAATCTCCACTTCTCATGACGTGAGCTTCCGGCGCCGCGGGCGGTCTGGAGGGCGGGAGGAGAAGAGCGCAAGGACTGGAGGGTGGAAAGGGGGATCAACGGGAGGAGGAGGACGAGGAGGAGGAGGAGGAGGAGGAGGAGGAGGCGGAGGAGGAGGAGGAGGAGGAGGGGGAGGAGGGGGCGGAGGAGGAGGAGGAGGAGGAGGAGGAGGAGGAGGAGGAGGAGGAGGAGGGGAGGGGAGAGGAGGAGGAGGAGGAGGAGGAGGAGGAAGGAGGAGGAGGAGGAGGAGGAGGAGGAGGAGGAGGAGGAGGAGAAGGAGGAGGAATGCTGGATTCAGATGCAGAGTCCCCATGTGGGGCCACATCGCTATCGGTCGCTGTCGCCGCTGCCAGCGCCGTCCACCAGTGCAAGGCCGCTGCCTCCGCCGTCGCCAGAGCTCGACTCGGCACCACGGAGGCGAGCAGAGACGGTGCGCAGCACAGCGGGGCCGTCGGCAACGGCAGGCGAGGCCCCCTGGTCCTCCATCAACGTCGTCCGCTCAGCCGTCTCGGGGGGAGGTCGGCAGGAAGACGCAAGTGTTCATCACATTCCGAACCAGTGCCTGCAGAGCCGTTCCCAACCGATCCAACCTTCCCACCCTCAGCCTGGGACGGGGGCGGAGCATCAAGGGCAATGGGGGCCATCACGGCTCAGGTGGGCCCCGGTAGCTCGGAAATATTCCTCTCTGAATTATCGTGAAGTTATCCCCCACTTTACGCGTGGGGGGGGGCGGGGCACACTCCATCTGCAACCTTCTGCTATCTATTGTAGCAGTGCAACCACAGTGCATGCAAAAAGTCGGCAGGAGGAGGAGGAGGACGAGGAGGAGGAGGAGGCAGGGAACCCAGACTTCCTCGAGGGCTAGAAAATCCAGTCGAGGTTTTCTAGCAGCCCGGATGGGTCCGTGGGTCTGGAGGTTGTTGTGTTGTTTTTTTGTTGTGGGGAGCGAGAAGCGAGGCGCGAGGATGAGCAGGGAGTGAGGAACGGAGCAGGCGCGCGAGGAAGCGCAGAGGAAGAGGAGCAGGAGGAGGCCCAGTGTAAACTCAAGAATCACCAACGATATTGGAACCCAACCTCCCTCCAAACTCCCTCTTCATATGCCCCTCTACGGGTGCATTTCCGATGGGGGAAGTGCTCCGTTGGGAGACAAACGTTCGCAGATCCTGAAGGGCGCCCGAACACCATTATGCCTTCAACGTCCTGACTCAACTTGAGCGATGCGATGCGTATTGACGATCCTGAGTCGTGCGGGAACGCCACGAATCAACGTAATTGTTGCGCCCTGACAGTCCGAAGCCGGTCCTGAGTCGTGCCAGAACGCCATGAACCAACGTAATCGTTGCGCCCTGGCAGTCCTAAGCCGGTCCAAGACACCATGTCTTGTGAGTTAACAGTGTGAACCACTGAAGCCCTTTCAAATCTGGCCTCGATTGTGCGGGGCGCTGAAACGAGAGCCACATCCATGAAACTCTTGCAACATTCAACTGTCAATGCTAATACGCACGGCATTAGGGCGAGAACCACATGTTGAAAACGGGCAACCCTCAATCCGTGAATCTCCCACATTTTGAAAACGGGCCGCGATCAACCCGTGAAGCTCTTGTATCTTTTAAACGGGCGTGCGCAAAGCTGAGTCGAGAGCCACATTTGAAAACGAACCGCCCTCAAAATGTGCAACTGCTAGAAGTTTCCAAGCCTGAGGCTCATAAATGGCAGGAGAATATCAAGCGGAACCCCCGGCCCGCCCTTCCGACTGGCCGCGGGGTGCGACAGGGAGGAGTTGCTCATAAGCAAAAAGGACGGAGGAGAAGGAGGAGGAGGAGGAGGAGGAGAGGAGGAGGAGGATGAACAGTGTAAATCCGAGATTCATCATCGATGTTGGAATAAACCCTCCCTCCAAGCTCCCTCTTCACAGGCCCCTACAAAGGTCCATTCCCACTGAAGGAACTGCCTCGTTGGAAGACAACCGCTTGAAGACCTGGAAGCATGCCAAAGCAGGGTTCTCGGGATTCCAACGCCACGGGTCAACCTGAGTTTTGTGTCTTGACGGTCCTGAATCATGCCAGAACGCCATTCCTGGGACTTCAACACAAGGAATCAATGTAACTGCTGCACCCTTATAATCCTGAATCCTTCCAAAACACCATTCCTGGTGCGCTGATCGTGGCAATCCGTGGAACTATGGCAAATGTTTTAAATGAATGCGCGCGGCACTGACGCGAGAAGCGCATGTTCAAAACGGCCCGCCTTCAATCCGTGAAATTTTTGCTTTTTTGTTCCAACAAATGTGCGCTGCGCTAAAGCGACACCCACATGTTGAAAAGGAACCGCCCTCAACCCGTGAAACTCTTGTACTGTTTTAAAACGTATGTGCGCGGAGCTAATGCGAGAACAACATGTTGAAAACGACCCGCCCTCACTCCGTGAAACTTGTATGATGTGTTAAAGAAGTGTGCGCGGCGCTGGGGCGAGAACCACATTTGGAAAACCACCAGCCCTCAATCCGTGAAGCTCTTGCAAATGTTTTGAACGAATGTGCGCTGCGCTAAGGCGAGAGCCACACTTTGAACCCCCCCGCCCTCTATTTGTGAAGCTGTTGCCACAAAGTAAAAGTTTCAGGGTCAGAAGAGGTGAGGAAGTCTCAAGCGAAACGCCGGGCCCGCCCTAACAAATGTCCTCGGGGTGCGACACAGAGAAATTATTAAAAAGGAGGAGGAGGAAGAGGGGGAGGAGGAGGAGGAAACGGAGAAGGAGGAGGAGGAGAAGCATCGTGAGACGGGGAAGGGCCATGAGAACGCAGACTGAGGAGGCAAGAGAGGAGGGAGGAAGGGAGGGAGGCGAAGGGAGGGAGGGACGACGAGGAGGAAGCGGACGACGTCGACGAGGACGACGACGCAACGACGGCGACGGCGACGACGACGAGAAAGGAGAGGGAGGAGGAGGAGGAGGAGGAGGACAGGGAGGGAGGAGGCGGAGGTCGGGAGGGATGACGAGGAAGATGCGGAC